AATACTTTTATATATATATAAATATATAGGGAATTATTTTTTAATTTAAAAAACTAAAAAGAAAATAATTAAAAATAATTAGAATAAAGTTTAATAAGTTTATTAAATTTTTTAATATTTTTAGTATTTAGAAATTAAATTATTAATTTTCTTTAAGAAGTAAAAAATTAATTTAGATATTATTATTAATCTTTATAAATTAAAAGTAAAATTTACTTATTTTTTTAGTAGATTTTTAAGTTTTTAATTTTATTCTTTTTATTTTAGATCTATAAAATAAATAAGAAGTTTTTTCTTTTTTCTTTTAAAATTATAAACCTTAAAACTATAGAGTTATATAATTATAGTAGCTCTATACGCCCTTAGGTATATATATACTACTACGTCGCATAGCTCTTAGCTGCTAGGCCTACGACCATTTCAGTATGGTTCTGCTTTCGATTGCAACCTTTAGTGGATGGAAGTTGTTTAAACGCACGAGCTTCGTGAACCCTTACGAAGCGGACTTAATCTGGGCTCGCCCAGCTGTCGACTTGCATGAACGCTTGATGGCCGAGGTCCCAGTCCTTGGGTTCAAAAGATCTGTGATGGATTTTTTCAGCGCCAGGTTTGGAAAGAAACCTCCTGCTGCTGGTTCAATTGCTTGAAGAGAAAGGTGGCTCATAACCGTCATGGGACAGCGTTGGTCTTAGTTGGGTTGTTTTGCTTTCTTATGAAGGATAAGATCACCAAGGATTCTGATTTTCTCTCGCGCCCTGAGTTGCAACTATGACATGGCCAAACATTTCTATTCACGATAATTAGGCAATATCCAGCCTATTTCCGCTGCTGGCCTGTAAATCCAATGTTTGTGGTCATAATCCAGCTGCTGATACACCCCTGATACAATTTGAACTGCCCAGCCCTGTAGCCACCACTGATTCTCGCACCTCTTGAGTATCACAGCAAAATGGGCAAGCACGCTGAGGGCCTCTTGTGTCCTAAGCTCAAGTAGTGGGATGAAGTCTTCCAAGGATCTGTATATCCAAACCAATGCATCAGCACCCTCCCATAAGTGGACCCATTGCGTCGCACCTCGCAGCATGTCGATTACCCTCGCATAGACTGACAGTTCATTTAGGTCCGCTACCTCTGCGTTCAGGCGAGCTGCTAGCTCATCCAAGGAGCTATCCGTTGATTGATAGCCCATCTCGGTTTGGCTGAGTTGTTGTTGGAACACCCATCTTTCGGCCCCATGATTTAGCAAAGGGGCGAGAGGGCTATCGGAAAGACTGCCCCAAGAGTGTCTGAGAATTCCATTCATTCCTTTGAGCACAGCAAGTAAGTCGTGGAAGCTGGCATCTTCGTCCAATATCGACCCATCTGAGGATCTCTGCGGGGTGGCCAGCACTAGAATCATGTTCTTAGTTTTCATGTTGCTTCTTACTCGTGCAAGAATACATACCAATAATGACGTTCAATGCAGAGAAAAGGAACAGAGGCACACCATCGTGGTCACCCGAGAACCTCTCAAGCATGTGTCTAGCAGTTTCCGAGGAAACCCGGTGATATTCCAGGGCAGCTGACACATAGTGACTGCGGTCATTCGGTCTAGTCTGAGCCATATGAAGGGCTGGGATTGCGAGAAGAGACCGCATCAAGTAGGTATGCTTAAGTGACAGGCTTGGGACAGTGACCCTCCAAAAGTCTCTGAGTGCTGGCGACCATGAGAGCGTGGTATAGGTGAAGGTTGAATAAGTGTGAAGAAGCTCGAGTTGCAAGAAATCTAGGTCGCCGCCATAAAATGTTGTAGATGGGCTCTGCGCTAGACTGGGTTCTTGATCTGGCGGACCTGTCGGATATTCGCACTGCAACTGTAATCTTTCACATCGCGAGCACGACGGCCGATGCTCATCGCACTTTTCATAGCGGCGTGAGCTTCAATTACGCGTAACAGTGATGGTGATGTCGCAAAAAAGCTCACCTTCACTTTCCTTCCTTTGCAAGTTCTGCAGCCTGTCCTTGACTTCTTGTGTGATACCCTTTTTCCCGTGCTTCTGTTCCTGTGTTTCTTCAGCTCCGAGGTGCCACATGGAGTTGATGTCGTAGAGTACCCAGAATCCTCTGGAATGGCGAGGCTAACTTCCTCGGCCATGATGACGTGTTGGATGGTGATTGGGAAAGTAAGAGAATCTGTGACTGAGAGACCGGCAATGATCTTTCTGCATGTGGAAACCAATACGCGTTTTAAAAGGGTTCGGCTTTCGATACGGCTTTTACGACTTAGAAGATTTAAGGTAGCTGGCTGGCATAGCCTGGTGTCCGATTTGGTGTCACGTCATTTGGTAAATCAGGCGTTTATGAGGGATGATCTAGCTTAGCCAGTACTCACTCGCGTAACGAGGACAGCATGCATGGAAAGACAAGGGTCCACGGCAATAAGCTTAAGGGGAAAAACGCCGGCAGCTCGTATGAACAGCGAGAAGTACGACAAATGCGAGGGAATGTACAACGCCGCAGCCCTTGGATTCTTGTACAGAGCAAATTTACTGCCCCAAGTTTCCTCTCTTGTGAAATTGGTGGGACTCCGTTCGAGCGGGTGGCCGCGGACTCGGTGGCTTAGACACCTCGTTCATGAACGAGGTCGGGCTGACCCACCTCGTTCTTCGTTCATCCGCGCGAGTTCGGACTATGGCCCTTCGTTCACGCGTCACGTTCTCGATTCGTTCAGTATCTTTCACTGCATGTAAGTCCATGTTCTTTTTTCGACACTTTGAGGGCCCAATGCGACACACATATACGAGACTACGAATTTGGCGGCCTTGGGAAACCACCGGGCAATTCGGCGTGCTCTTGGCCTGTCACACAGCCAGGGCTTGCTGGGTAGGGTGAGTTTGCACAAGTCGTCGGGGACACCGCGAAAGCAACTCAAATAAGACGCGTATGGACTGGTCAATAAAATGCTCTCGTGAGCGCTCAAGTGGCATCCGTTGAACGTATCGTTCTTTCCTTCAAGTCAACATCAACTCTAGGTATCTTTCGCTTCTTAGCCGGAGCTCGTCTCAGAAATCTAGCAATTCGGATAAGATGGATGAGTCAAGTGCTCAAGATGCCGCAGCAGCTGCCGCGGCAGCCTTTGACTTCAAGCTTTATCGCTACACGCCGTCTCTCCCAGCTGCGATTGTCAGTGTTGCGGTTTTTGCCGCCCTCACCGCATTGCATACATGGCGCATCTTCAGAGCAAGAGCTCTCTATTTTACTGCATTTACCGTCGGTGGCTTGTGTAAGTTTCCATCATCTCAACTATGCTCAGCGAGTCCGCCAAGAGCTTTCAAAGTCATTCTCAAGAGCGATCAACTAACAATGCACTTATAGTCCAAACAATCGGATACTGTGGTCGTATATGGAGTCACTTTGACACACTGTCCATTTGCGGCTTCGTTATTCAAGCCATCCTAATCCTCGTCGCGCCGGCGCTGTACGCCGCTTCGATTTACATGATCCTGGGTCGACTCATCCGAACTGTCAAGGCCGAACATTTGTTGCTAATCCCAGTCAACTGGGTGACTCGGATATTTGTGGCGGGTGATGTTGTCGCCTTTACCTTGCAAGCTGGAGGTGGCGGTGTCCAAGCTGCAGGCACACTAGACTTGTACGAAGCAGGAGAGAAGATCATCATCGCTGGTCTTTTTGTCCAGATTATCGTCTTCGGGTTCTTCGTCGTCACTTCTCTACTCTTCCACGCCCGACTGAGCCGCAACCCGACCACCATTGCACTTGAGAGAGGCACTCCATGGAGGCGCTATCTCTATGTGCTGTATGCGACGAGCGCCATCATCCTCATTCGAAGCGTATTCAGAGTTGTCGAGTATCTGCAAGGAAACAAGGGATATCTCATTTCACACGAGATCTTCTTGTACATCTTCGACACCTTGCTCATGGCGATTGTCATGGCAATCTTCCTTGTTTGGTACGTGCAGGAGTTGGAACCGAAGAAACGGGCGCAATCTGTGGATGGTCGTGACACCTCGGGATCTAGCGACTACGTATTGGACGAGAGGCGCAAATCGACGCCACTGAATGCTTGAGGAGGGGGGGTGGGGGTTGATGCCAAATACTGGGAATGTTGGGGTTCATGAAGACATCATTAGAAGACGCGTTAGATAGCATAGAATATTGATACCCAGGATGTTCCCAAAACAAAATGCCATCATCAGTGCACTACCAGAAGAGAAATTAGTTCGTTGGAGCGAGGTGGATGAGTAGCCAGAACCATCGAGCACATGTGCGAGGACCTCGGACTATCGCATTCGGCATTAGCCCGAACATTACTCGGCAAGTCTCACATTGCCCACTGTTCGGCCATTCACAGGTCAAGGTGGCGCCTTGAGCACAGGATTAGTCCTTTGATCCTCGTTCACATGCTGCTGCCTTCGTTCCTCGTTCATCAACCTTTTCGTTCCCCAACCTCCCCCTTCCACCCCATTCGCCTCCGTTTCTCGTTCACCCATTGTCAGCGCGACCTGCCATCCGCTCCGCAAAGATTATGCCTTCATCGGACGGAATAGCCGAACGGCAAACGGGTCGTCGTTATTCACGAAAGCCACATTCGAAGACGACCACTGGGTGTTTACAGTGTCGGCACCGCCGAGTCAAGGTACGACGACCTCTAAGCTCAATCCTGCCGATTACTTTCTGACACCGATTCTCCCAGTGCACCGAGGAAAGACCGGCGTGCAGAGCTTGCGTTCGGCGAGATGCTGTTTGTGAGTACGCCGAGGACAGGAGGCGCCCAGAACGTGCGGCAATAAGCTCTTCCTTACCTTCATCGCGCAACCCAACGCCTAGAGACCTATCCAGACCTGGAGAGAGCGTGAATCTCATTCCTACTAGATGCCATCAACCTCATACCGATGATACTCCGATAGGTACTTCCAACATAAATTTATCTGCGGATAAGTCTCTCGGCGCAGGCATTGCTCCTTCCCGAGTACCGGCTATCCTCACACCAGCCTCTCATACATCGGGGCCACCAGCTCATTTCCCCCTTCGGAGCTCTTCCAATCATGATCCAGCCACTCCTTACTCAGAACATCTTTCTTCATCAGCTCCCACTCCGGCTACTGTGTCCAGTCTATCACGAGCGCCGCTTGTTGATACCCCTGCATTCGGAATCAATGATCTTGCACTCCTACACCACTGGACAGTTTCAACCAGCATCGACATCTTCAAAAGCGCCCCAGTGGATTCTCTGTGGCAAGTAACCTTCCCACGGATAGGTTTTGAACACCCATTCGTAGCCCATGCTATCTTGAGCCTGGCTGCGTTGCATCTCGCATACATTAGTGGGACAAAGAACAGCCCTTATGTCGTCGAGGCAACTAGGCATCATGAAGAAGCTATCAGAGGGTTTCAGGATGCCTCGAACAGTATCAACAAGGAGAATAGCGAGGCATTGTTCGCGTGGTCGCTTCTAAATATCATTTATGTCTTCAGCATCTTGAAGCAGCTGCCAGATGAAGATGAGCGAACCGCCGCTCGTTTACGAAGAGACCGAGTCCTTGGCATGGAGTGGATACCCATGACGCGGGGTATCAACGCCGTGTTGATTCCAACGTACCAATTTTTGAAAGATGGCCCAATGAGCAGTCTCATGACTCTCGGAAATTGGAATGAATTGGATCCTGGTGAAGCATTGCCTGAGCCGGTGGATTCCCAGCTTTGTAGACTCAAGGAGACGTGGGCAAATAGTAATGATGCAAAGACTTATGATGAGGCATTGCACATCCTCAGGAAGTGCCGCATGTACGTCCTCCAGTTTAAATCTATGAACCCCCAAACACTTGCTCAATGGGGGTTCAATAGAGAATGGGCGGGACCTTCAACATTCATCCACTTTGTACCCCAGGAGTATGTCTCTCTTCTACACCAGCGACAACCACCAGCACTGATATTGTTTGCCTATTTTGGGGCTTTTATGCACGCTCTCGACGACTATTGGTTCTTCGAGGGCTGGGGAAAAGACATTGTTGAGGTGGTAGATGATCTTCTTGGAAGTTACTGGAGGTCGTGGATAATGTGGCCCATAGAGTATGTTGGATTGAGCTGAAATAACTTGTTCGTATATGGATCAAGCGAGGCTACAGCCAAGGCATAATGATGTTGGCACATAGTTCCCTATTCTATCCATCCGTATATATCAGATACAATTATCCCCCCCCCCNCCCCCCACCGGCCATTGCCACCGCCGATTATTTATTCTTTCTCAACGCAATTAATGAGACCCTTGATTCCAGCCCATTCCTCAAAGACGCTGGTGGTGGTGATGTTGAGGCAAGCTATCCATCTTCCAATGCTGGCCACCACCACCTCCGGCCAGGATCGCTCCAATCTCAGCTGGGTGAATCCAATTAAACAAGACCATGACCAAGAACATCAACAAGGCGTCAAATATATAGAGATACGCTTCGTGCTTAAGCAGGTAGCCGTCGAACCCCTGGAGATACTCGGCGGCACGGAAGACGGAACGGACCATAATCAGGAAACTTCCCACATATAAGGCAGTCATATGCTTCCTCCATGGAATGGTGCTGTTGGATCGTCCTGTCGGAGAGTTGTTGATGGCGCGATGGAAAGCGACCGCAACCACCACGAAAAAGCCGAAGCATACAAGCTGTACGAAAAGGCCGACAATGATCACTTTGGCGCCGGCTTTGAGGGCGTCGAGAGTTCCCGAGGCTTGGTATCCCCCACCTAATATTATTAGTTACCGATGTGGCGTGAAGGTGGGAAAGCCTTGTTTGACCTACCTCCTCCTTGGAGAAAAAAGGACAATACGTCGCCCGCAACGAAAAGCTTGGTGAGCCACTCTTTTCGGATTAGACAATGCTCCTCTCCGTCTAGGACGGTGATGATTCTGCCAAGCTCCATGTACACAGTTGCTGCATACAAAGCAGGAGCTACGAGAAGAAGAATCGACTGGATGATGTAAGGTCCAAGGGACCAGTTTGGACTCTCCTGGCCGGACTTGGCTCTGGCTGCATAGCCAATTACTTGCACTAGCAACACAATATCAGCACATTATTTGGAGAGGTGGGAGTTTCATTGTCCAAGCACAGCGGTTCAGACTTACAAACGCCTCCAACTGCAAGAGGAATCAAAAACCAACAACGCGATCGTATCAGTTGCCAGAAGTGAAGGATAGTGGTCGCCAGAAAGAGGAAAACGAAAACAATGGCGCCAGCGATAGTCGGATCATAGTGGTAGAGTTTGAAAACCGCTGCCTCTGACATGTCAGCGACTGAAGTATTCCTGACTATCAGATCCATGGTGTGCTGGGTCGACGCGTGTTCTGGGTGTTGTGATAAGTAGCGAATGATCGTTGTCAGGCAGTCTGGAAAGAACGAATGCCAAATCTAATAACTGGAGATATCAAAGAAAGACAGCAATGAAGAATCTGCACGTGGAAAGATCGATGATGAATGAGTTGGTCCGATCACATTGACGGCGACCTAAGGGCTTTTGAACATACAGTTCAAGTGCTGGAATGGAGTTTCATTGTTGACCTCTGCAGCAGAAAGGGGTCGTTCATGCGAGCAGACTAATCAACACAGCCTCGAAGGAAATACATCGCAAGGCACACTGCGACTACGGCAATCGAGTTGCGGGTTGATAAGCCTAGCGCCGGACAACTAAGCGGGTCCCGGGGCATACGGCTCGGGGTCAAATTCGCGTTTTCGGCCCCACATGTCGGGTTTCTCGTACTTGTCCCTCGTTCCCCCCCTTTTATGAAAATTTTGGCGTGTTCGCTACTCGTTCTACTGTTGGGGCTTGTCCAAATATGCCATTCCGAGTATTGACCGGGCGGCAGTCGCCAAGCGTTTCAGCGCGCGGCACACTGTGCTGAACGATGATAGCTCTCGACTGTGCCTCGGACTATGGTCCTCATCTGTCACTTTCTGCCAATAGGGGAAACATTGCACCCCTTTTTAGCTCAGATACGCCTCATTCCTGGGGTATGTTTCGGTATCAAAGGTTTTATGTCTGTCTCTGCCGCTTGGAGCGCCCAACAATCATTGCTTGGTTCTTTTCCATACCTGTATCTTGCTGTATTGTACCTCGGCCCAACAAACAACACTGCGGCGTTTCCTCTGATTTGCGCGGAATTCGTCATCAAAGGACGGCGATAGTAAGGTCACGAACTGGAGACTTCGTTGCAGGAAGAAATCAACTGTAGATCAATGAGCAGCCTATCGAGAAGTTTGGTGTTCATCTGGTACCGACGCCAGTCACCGTAAACGCACATTGAGAAGAGAATCTCCAAGATTCTTTTGACCGTCTACTTTTTGAGCGAGTTGATAAACATATAGGACATTAAGTAGGTGACAATGACCATTGTCGCCTAGAGTACTGGGTCAATATTTTCCACAGCAGTGCTCATCTTGTCCAGCAAGCCGCTACGATCCACAGTCAACAAGACTTGGCTGTAGACCTATAGCTAGGGCATGGCATCGTGAAGTGTATGTGAACATTGGGTTCGGTTCAAGGAACCAATCGTGGTCATTATGGTATGGCAAAGCCCACTCTCATTAGAGCGTGGTAGCGGCAGGTCCTATATTTCATCGTAGCCAACCCATGATGTTGTCTGAGTAGCTAAGGTACACCGTAAAGCTACAATAATAGTAAAAAGAGGAGGTAGTTTTTTCGATGTGCGCAGCGCCGCGCTGCGGAAGAAGAGAAAGACAGTGCTGGCCTGCCACATTAGACATGTGATAAACCCATCGGAGCGCAGAAGCCTGAGCTAGGTCTTATTCCCTACCTTGACACCCATACGGGGTCAAATTTGTCCTCACGGTTTGGAATTTATGTGGTGATAGAATGATCTGTGGGTAGCCAGTTGATGTAATAGAAGGCAGTTGGTGTTTCCAAAACCCATCTACCTAGTGCAACACTTGTACTAGTAAGAATATTAGCCAGTGCCCCTGTTAGATGCGACATCATCATTACCTCCAGCGTTGCCTCGCAAAGCGAGACTGAGTTTGGGGGAAATGTCGTTTTCTCATTGTAGCTCACAACACCCCCATAGGTTTGGCCGGCTTCACATGACACAGGTGCTTGCCCCTGGCATGCGATGCCCCAATAGGTCACTTTCGTAAGGACTCGGCATTCCTGTCGAGAGGCAACATTTCCGAGGGGACCGCCTTCGACGGCAGTGAGCCAATGGAATACCAAAGAAAGAACGAAGCTAAGCGATGTCGAATGCATGGCGAATTGGCGATGATTGGTTGGTTTGTTTTTGTAGGTTTAACGGGCCTGGGGCAATGAAGAAGAAAAGCTTGTTACAAAGACAATTAAGGTAAGTTGGGAGACTCGTTTATTTATTAGCCTGACCATATTGCTCTAGGTCACAGTGCCGAGGACCCTGTCCTGGGGTATTCGATTAGGAGCCGTATTGGCACGCTCCACGCGCAACTAGGACTTGCCCCTTGACCAAGGATATCTTATGAAGTTGGCAAGGCCTCACTATCAATCCAATCTGTGAAATTTTGACAATTTTCAACCTGGAACAATCTGTGCCTGACACAAGCAACCGTGATGGGAGGGGCATATCTGCCTATCGTAATTAACACGCTCGGGGAGTGCGAAGGCCCCGACAGTTGCTAAACCCAGTAAAGGAGTGTTGCGAGTCACGATTCGCGCCTCTGAAGACCACGCGCATCCACTCATGACAAGCCTACTTCTCGGTTTCGCAAAGCTGCGAGTCGTGAGCAGACATGCTTATTTGAAAGCCACGGAAACCTAATCGTTGATTGGCGCTGGCGAGACACGTCAGAATCTCCAACGTCCTGGTTATTCAACCCCTTGCAACTCACAGGATGTCTTTTGTGATACTTTAGGGCGCCTTCGATCACCGGACTAGGAGGCTCGAAAGCGTTCCTTTACATGAAAAACTTTCCCCGCGGGTTTATACCCCAGTGCCTTTTAAATAAGACTTCTAAATAGGGCGCTGGGAAGGACTAACAGACACAACAGGCAGTGACACCGAGCCGCAGCAGGCGGCGTCCACGATTTGCGCACTTAAACTTGGTATACAACCCTTAACAAGACATGAAGGAAATTGTGCTTGCAGGCCCCTTCTGCTCTTACCGTAGGTAGTCAGTTAAAGGAGAATCCCCCCTGTCAGACCGATCAGACGTTCTGTTTTGGATCCTCTTTAACCCAGTACTGAGCCGACTAATCGGTGCTTGAGTTAACTTTGGCGAGCAAGGGGGGTGCGGATTCTCCTTTAACTGAGTCCCTACGATAAATTCTCAAGCTTAATTGAGAGCATGATTCCGTCCTATAAAATCAGATAAAGACTTCATCTGTGCTGCAATCCACCCATGACCACCAGATTTGCATATTGTTGGGGCATTTCTCGTTTTTATACGTCCAGCTGAAGTCGTCAATTCAATGGAAGCAACAGCTACTCCGTTCTCACACATGAGACCGCAGAGACAGGAGGGTGTCAAGGTGCGCGTCGGCGAAGTTCTCCTAACTCGAGTTGTCCCCACCAGATCCCGAGACAAGGATTCAATCGGAACGAACCAGCAGTGTGTATCCGTACATGTATTTTCAAGGGCCTAGCGCGGAAATGTATCCGGATCGCTTAGTGTAAGCTTTCTCTTCGTCCATCAGGCGATGGAAGGTCAGGGCACCCAACCGCGACAGAGAGAAGTCTCAGGGATGCCCTTGGTATGGTATGTCCGGGCTATTCCGCACAAGAGCTGAGGCGGGTATAACACAAACGTGAACTCCATCCTTCATTTCAAATTATAGCTCACTGATAAACAAAGCAGTCACTCGTCTCGCGCGACATTAGTGCAGCTGATCGTTGGACTGAAGCCCGCAATATTTATGGGAATGAGTTGGTCTGTGTTAGAAATAAGAACGGAGGAGAAGAAACGGAGCATTGATGACTACTATGTAGCGACCTAAGTTGATTTTGACGCATGAAAAGCCCTCTCGGACGTGAGTCTTTGGGGCGGAGTGCGAAAAGCTGGACGGTTTAGGAACCGTAAGGCATGATCATAGGACAATATTCAGGGACCGTTGCAACGCTTTTTTCAGCGCATCGAGTAGGTAGTCTTGTGCGACCTATATTACCATACACCATCGTGTATTCAGGTATGACTGGTCGAATGTTACTTCTGCTACTTGCTGAGGACTCTAAGTTAGGCTCGAGGCTGAGGATTGTACGTGGCAATGATGGACAACAAGCTCTCAGAACCATTCTTTCAGGCCTCTTGCAAAAAAGCCGACACATCTAACAGCTCATACAGATGACACCAAGCTAGAACTTGGAATTTAGTTGAGTGTCTATGGAGATGTGGAATGAGTAACGGAACATTGATCGTACTCGCTCCAATTCCATCTGTTTTACGCGCTGGGTGGGCATTGCTGCAGCACAAACCCAATCTCTCATAACCCAAGCTCAGCAAGCCCTGTATCTCAATGAGTGATACACTTGGAATAGTCCTTATTTGCCGGGCAAGACTTGATATGGTGGCCACCTCCCGTACCCGGCGTGCCTGGCTGTACAGGCTGCCCCATCTGCCTAGTGACTGGATAATGGCCCCAAGTGTAGTTCCACTTCTCAACGCGAGATGCGTGGAAGGCCTTCCGGTCGTTGATCGCCTCCACGTTGGCGGCGTGTTGTTTCGGGTCTCTTCGTGGAGCCAGGGGAAGAACTCGTCGTCGTCTCAGCGGTGGTGGATCGACTTCAGCCTTTGAGCCAGGGTAGCTAGCAGTATCGGGGTAGCTGGCAGCAACGGGATAGTTGGCAGCATCGGGATGATTTGCGGCGTCGGGATAGTTCGCAGCGTCGGGATAGTTCGCAGCGTTGGGATAGTTCGCGACTTCGGGGGTAGGGTTATGATATGGCAGAGGATCGATGGTATAAGGAGCATCGAAGGTATCAGGAGCTTCAGGGGCCTCGGGGGCTTCGGGGATATTCGGCTCCTGCTCCTGCTGCGGGTTTGGCGTTACAGCTACGGCCGGGACCTTTCCGGTCATCCCTTTTGGAGGTGTTGGAGGTGTGCCTGCTGTAACCAGTCTTGCCTCGTCCCGCAAGCGGGCTACTGGCGCCGATATGGCCGGACCAACAATGATGAGGAAGAAGACATTCAAGACAAGCATTTTGATGAAGGTCGTCTTGTTTTACCTCTTGAGGATCTTCGTACCAGTTTCAAGAAATTTCGAGGGCTGATGATAACCCCAGTTGTTCTGCAAGCTGCTTAGAAGATGCTTAGAATATTTAACACAGATACTGACGGTCTGTTAGCCCTTCGGCGCTCTGCCGCGGTCACTCGACTGCTACTTACCCCCTCAAAATCAGCCCGCATAGTCACCCAAAGGCTAGAAGGTCAAGAAGAAGATCTCGCGACTCACGTTCTTTGGGTTTCTCTTCAATGTTCTTTTGTTTTTGTGTCATTCCCGCATACATAACACGTATTTGGGTCGGTCTTCAGTGAGAACATAAGGGTCATTCTTCGGAAGGGATCGATGTCGAGGGTTATGTCTACGCATGCTGAATTCGCTAGAAACGGAGAAGATGTCATCCGAATTCCTAGCCACGCAGACGAAGCTTTACGCGTATCCCACCTGAACATAAGCTATCGATACCTGGCTCGTGGCCTGCATTGTCGGCAGTTCATCTCAGGCTCGCCCGTGGTCACTCACTACACTAGACATTGAAGTTGCCTGCCCTGGCGGTGCGCACGGCCGTCTCCGTGAGATGGTGTGCCCCAACTGTTAGATCAGCACACTCTCAAGTTACCCCTCTTAGGGCGAGTAGGGCGGAACAGAATGCAAAGTAAGAAGACTTGGCTAGCTTACTGATTATTCATAATATCACGAAAGGCAATTTTTAAGTGCGGATTTAGAGTTGCGGACAAAGGCACCTAGGCTGAACTCCTCGAGAAGCACAATATTTAAGCTTTGGGTCTCAGTAAGCACCGTTCAGGCCCAAACTATGCATACTCAAGGCCTTCAGCCATTTACTCTGGAAATCGAGGTTTTATGCTATAGGATGGATTATAGGAGCGAGCAGAATAGATTGCATGTTGTTGATGGTCTAAGGAAGTATCCATGCGTCAACAATACGAATTGACTTCCGGTGTTCTCTGCGGGCACCAATAGTCAGTCGCGTCCACGACGGTTCAACAGAACTTCACCTCGGAATTATCGCCGGTAAACTCGCTCTCGGATCATTCTTCCACAGTCAGGTGCGCGAACAACACGGAGAGCGTTCGTATTACTCGGATCTCGGCAGATGCATTCGTCGTCATCGCGGGATTGAAAATCACCCGATTGACGAAGCCTGCGGGGTTGTGCTTTTTTAGCAGCTCATCAATGGAGGCAATCATGCCGGGTGTGGAAGTCTTTTCCACTTCAACACCATTCTGATGAGTACTTGGAGTAATCCGTGTACTCTCCCTGAAAGGCAAAAGGAGGAGGTTGCGAAAGAGTATGTCCAAAGTGCTTTGGGGACGTCAAGGGCTTTTTCTTTTGTCGAGGTTCCGCCTGAACAGAAATCAAGTTTGATTCACCTCACGGCCCAAAAGTCCAACCTTTAATTTTGGTGGATGAGTGAAATCGCTGTCAGGTACCCCGCGAAGTCCAGACCTCTCAAGCGACCGAGACATAGGAGTCTTAGCAGCCCCCAGGTCCTCCTACAACGCCTGCGACATTGTAGACAGTGATGCACAGGCTTAGAGATAGCCGTCATATTCCCTCAAGAACTCGGCTACTTCTTGTTTCCGGCCTATTCTGTCCTCTAGAGCGCCCTTTATGCTCTCGCCAGTGTCTCCTTCGTCCCTGGATACCTTAGGAGCTCTGGACTGCAGATACCCAGAGCACTCCCCTCCTGGCTGCACCTGACTGTAATCAAAACTCCCGCGCCTAGGTTTATCGCAAAGGATATCAAGTATTCAAGCTTAGAGCAAAGTTTGAGCCGGTCTTTGATGTTGTCATGGATCATTCTGTGTTCATCGCGACATGCTGGTGATGCATGAGTCGATGTGAACGATGGACCATGGACTTTTCAAAAACCCCGCCTCCTTCGGCGTGACCAACAGTCCTGTCACCGAAGATTGCCCGGGTCCGGAGCGGAGCGGAGCGATCCAGGGTGTCCAGTCGCGTCGACACAGCGGTTGAGCGCGATGCGAACCGCGCCCTCCTCCTACTCGTCTGCAGCCCATCTCCTCCGGAGCAGAGTACAGGAAGGTTCATGTGAAGAAGTTTGTGATGAAGTTTCCCTCGCCCAGGGAGGAACTCAAGAGGTATCACCGCCTTGTGCAGGACACCGAAGCCGCGCATGAATTGAGAGAAGCGAGCAACCTATTGAGGCGTCGGTGGTGGACGCCGAGGCGGACGCAGGCAAATGAGCTTGCTGGGACGTAAGGTCGACTGCATGCGCGGGTCTAAATCGCCATATCATGCTTTTCAAAGCTCTCCAGGTCTGTACTGCACTCGGGCTAATCCAATGTTTGGCAAGGCCCCTGCCTCGACGCGTCCATCGCGCTGCGGCTGGGCCCGATGGATTGGCCTTTTACAGAGCCATGATGGAGACGAGGCATCATCACCTTCCTGTGGGCGGTGATCGCATCTTGGGATAGGTTATCCTCTAATTCAAAGCTGAAGATCATGGGTATATCAGGTCTTGTTGACAGGACCTCAGACGCTGTGCCTGAATACCGCTACAATACGGAGAAGATCCACCAGACTCGCTTTCTTCAAGTTGCTTGTATAGACGAAGATCCTCAGGCCTCTGGGATTGATTTCAGACAGCCCGGAGGATAGGAATCCGTGAGTTGCCGAACTGGGTGCCGGACTTTCAGCCACACTCAAGCAGCGGACGCGAATATTTGGCATCTCTTTCTGAAGACCAGAGGGCTTACAAAACGGCTTTTGTCCTTCCTGGATCATGGAGTGTCTGCAACCGTGGAGCAAGATGAGGCGGTACTGGTAATCAATGGAACCGAGTTCGACAATGTACAGGTGATGGGGAGAAGGCTCCTGTCTGGGAGTCTCTCGAATGGTGCCAACCAAAGTATGGGGTCGAGGACGAAGTTTGCAAGCAGGTGATGCGAGAGAGGCTGGCCTCATGGACTCATACAGCAGCTTCGCATCCAACAGGAGAAAATCGTGCTCTGCCATTTTGGAGAACTGTGCTGATGGACTTGCAGCAACGGGCCCGTTGGAGTGAGAATCTTCCTAGCCATTCCAATGGCATTGCGATTGCCCGACTCAGAGTCAACACTCGACATGGAGAAGGCTCTGCATGAGCTGTCACTTTGCGGGAGTTTGTATATGCAAGATATGATTTCGCACGGCGAGCCTGGCTAGGGTTTGGTATGATCGTGGGAAGCTGCAGGACGGCATTATCTCGTCTTCATTACGCCTTTGAAATCGCGATGTCCCTCGGTTCACGTCAAGACAGAGGATATCATATTAAAAGAGGCCCGACCGAGCACCGGGAGGTGACCGTGGTCCGGGACCCGCACGTCGCCTGCCGGACGGCTGGCCATCATGACCATTTCCAGGCCCAGCGAAATTCTCGTTCATATTCTCGTTCATCACGTCAAGACTCTGATCACTTGATCGCTCGAAAGCGTGGATTGAGTATCTAGACATGCCGCAAATTACTGTATTGTGGATCTCGGGCCGATAGATAGCATAGATAGCGCTCGCTCAGTGGCAGTGAGTGGGTGTGAACCGGTGCAGGCTCTGAAAGTGGTAAACAGTCCATTCATGGCCCAACACAACTGGAAGAAAACCATGACAAATTGTTTCGTGTTGGGTGAGATGTACGGTTGTCTTGGGGGCAGGTGAACGCGAAGTTGGCCACTCTCTCGCGTAAAATAGCATCTGTTTCGACAAACGTCCAGCGTAGCGCTTAGCTTCCACGGGCGGCCGCCACTAACACGGGTCTATGGACGGGAGGACGCTGTTGCTGATACAAATGAGGGTAAATTCCATCCCGAACGACGCGTGATGTGGGCGCGACTCCGGGCATCTTATAGTCTCTAGTCGTCTGGAAAGATCTTTGGTATTCGCGTGCCACCTTGCGCGGGAAGAGGTGTCGTTAAAAGATGCTCGTTCTGCGGATGGGGCCGCAAATGCTCCGCGCGCTGGTCTGGGCAGCCTACAGGACGCGTTGTCTGTTGTCAGATTATTTCCAGCGTGGTAAGCTGGGTTCGACGCCCCCACGACACCCTTGATGGTGGGCCGATGTCGGTGGAGGGAGTTTGCATGCAGTAGCTTCCTGTTGCGGCAAGAATTTCCTGGGGCGAAGTCGACACGGGAAATGGGACGGTCTTGGGTTATTTGGCATTCAAAACTACTTGTAGGATTGGTGCTGTGACTCCTGTCATTTGAATGGTCGCATCGGTCTTGTTGGTGGACCGTCTCCGTTGCTGGGTAGCCATCATCTCCGGCGATGGATACGGGTTGGCCTCAAAGCTGAAGGCTGCAAGATATCATGTAGCCTGAAGCAAAGTCGCAAGACGCCTTGCGATGGGATCCGGGGCTCCGTGGCGCCACTTTGAAAGATTGCTTGGACTTCGGGTTGGCAGGCTGCCAACCTCTTGGCATCGCCAGCTTGGGTCATTGTGGGTTGACGATCCGCGTATTGTCGCGTGGCACCGCCGCGATTTGGGTCTCAGTACAGTCCGCGCTGGAATATGCAATCAAGGTGTCGGGAATTGGGTCCCGAGACGCTGTCATGCTCCCGGGTAGCGCTCATGCTGGATCGGCAATCGCGCTTCATGGAATGGCCCTTTCCTTCAAAGAGCCAGCGGCAACTTGATCGACTTCGAAGGGCCGGTGGCCCAGTAATCTGGATTAGTGCTCTCTCGCCGGTGGGAGGAGGCGTCTAGATCGGCAAGGGACGCTGACGTGACGGCTAAGCGGCATGATTCCCGTCTTCTGGGACCAGGACGCATAACTTCCGAGACATCGCCACGATCGAGGGCGAAGACAGGCCATGAGATTATCCTCAGAAGGCTGAGAGACGCTTTCTGTCAGGCACCGACGCCGGTGCATGAACCTGGGTCCGACTGCCGCCCGACTAGAATGGTATGCAGGGCTCACGAGACATCCGTGGATGGTCTTGCGGCACAGCAAGCGCGCATTAAGCATTGATTTCGGGTGAGGCTTTGATCAAGGCCGATTTTCGGCCGTATTGGCATGTTGGCGCCGTGGCATGCGGAACTGTTCGGAGTCAGTACGGCTGTCGAATGGCTTTCCCATTATCAATGCCAAAAGCTGCGACGTTGTCGTTGAGTCCATGATATCCACGATTCTCTGAGACCAGTGACTTTGTATGCAGATACTTGGCGCGAGTGTAACGCTGCTCGGCACGCGGAAGACACTTGTAGAAAAGCGGTATTCGTGGGGCCTTCCCTGGGTCTGGGGATCGGGATGAATGATTGACACACTGGATGGGAGATGGAATCACGGAGAGGCGAGGTGGAAGTGGCGGATGTTGTCGGCCAGTCAGCGAGCCTGATGATCTGATAAGATTGCTAAAAGCGGGGCCGAATCAGATAAAAAATTTGCATCAGCGCCATTGGAACGGCCCCACCGCCTAAAGTGACACTAAAAGGCGATGGACCAACCAATGGCCGCCGTTGGGGGACCTCCTTCCCTGCAGGAGTGGGTGGGGTGCGTCCACCACTGATCGCTCCTTCCAGTTTTCCAGTTCGATCCTTCCTTCCCGATGCTCTGCTTGTTCTGGGAAGGCAGGTTCCATTTTCCAAATAGCAAGCACGACCTGTCCCCCTTCTCCTGCCAATTAGCAGCAGCCCCCCGTGAACTGTGGCCTCTCGTGCCCGGCCCAGTTCACGTCACATTTTCCTCCTCCACTAACCCCTGGTCAACCTTGAAGTCAAGCTTTTTTCTGTCTTTATTTGGTGCCTCGGTTGGGGTACTTTCGGGCTCCGGATGCTCGCAAAGGCCCGCAACTCCAAAGAACTTCTGTCCAGCTGGCTCCGCCGTTGAGGGCGATGGCTCCGTCCAGTCGGCCGCCTCTGCTAGGTACAGCTCAAGCTGGACTTGACGATTTCGAGACTACTCGAATGGCTTCGGCTGCGTCAGGAATGCAAACATCTTGCGACAAGAGGGCGCCAACACCCGGTCATCCTCCGTCTCTCGCCACAGAATCATCGTCCCTAGCTTAAGGCTGGGAAAGGGAAACCAAGGCCACATGAGCCGGCGATCCCCCGAGCTCGAATCAGGCCAGCTTCTTACAGCAATCCACTCGCCAACGCCCGAGACAAGTGGCAGCGAGCTCTTTTCCGACCAATCTGACATGTGAGGCCATGGATCGATGCCACCAACAACTGACCCGACACTGGTAACCGAGCTGCAGCTAGGGCTTCTTTCGGCGCATCGGCTCCTAACGGCAGCCTTCCACCCTTCACGCATCCGCACGCACGATTCACCATTGCAACGCCAAGCAACTAGACCTCTTTCCACTATTCAGCTGTCCATTCGAATCATCCTCCAAGACTCTCATGCTGTCGGAGGGCTTCCTTTCACGTCGACTGCCGCCTGCGACATGTCTTTCCACTCCGTCGGAATGCGCCCAACGACCTGCACCGGTCAAACCCATCTCCCTTGACTCGATTTCGTAATTCTGCGGCCATCCGTACCAGAAGACAAGGAATGGCACCACTACAGCCCAAGTTGTCAGAGTGGAACACCGGCGTGGTCTGGCTTGCTTACCACAACCTAGAACCGTCCGTCGGCCACCGCTGATCCTAGCCATCCCGTGGACCCTTCCCCACCACCCAAAACCGCCAAAGGGTTCTTTTGCGCGGGTGAGAGCTGGACGTCCAGGCACACGAGCCTGTTGTTGCTAGTCCTGGGCATGGTGGAGGTGTGTGTGGCTCTCGCCTCTGCCTTAGCGTTGGCATCCGTCAAAATCAACCTTCAACATCGCATCGCCGAGCCGATGTCCTTGCATGGGTTTGCCGGAGGGTCCCGTACCATGTTCTATATAACCAGCTTGCCACGCTGCCCTCCATCGGGTAGCTTGTGTCGCTCCCAGCTGCATTCCTTCTCACGACAGCAAGAAACGAGCCTCCTTGTTGCTCTACTGTACCGCCGAGCCTGGGTCCCGCTCGGTTTAATCGACAAACGAAGCCGACTTTCAATAAGACGATCAATCGAATAGACAACACAGCGATAATGGGTTTGTTCTCCAAGAAGGCTCCCGCCGAGGAGCAGGTGGCCGTTGACCCAGCCGAGCCTTTGCCGGCCGGCGATGAAAAGTCGCTGAGAAACACAGCCGAGAAGTCAAGCGAGGAGGACCTCGTGGGCAAAGATGTTCAAGCTGGTGTTGCCAAGGTTGAGGGCATGACGGCCGTCTGGACAAAGCGCGACCTGATCATTGCCTACATCTTGTGAGTCGCTTGAGTGGGTGTTTTTGGGAACCTATTACTAACAATCCATTCAGCATCTGGCTCTTCTACGTTGTCACCGCCATCCAAGAAGTTTCCATTCGTGTCCTGACGCCATTCGTCACCAGCAGCTTCCAGCTGCACTCTCTGACAGCAGCAACGAGCATCATGTCAACTCTGATTGCTGGTCTCATCAAGCTACCCCTAGCCAAGATTCTTGACACCTGGGGCCGTCCTCAAGGTCTCTCCTTGATGCTTGTGTGCTGGATGCTCGGTTTCATCATGATGGCGGCATGCAAAAATGTCCAGACCTATGCCGCGGCACAGGTCTTCTACTCCACTGGGTAAGACATCATCTTTCCATCAGACGAATCAGCGGCTAATGCACACATCACAGATCCCAGGGCCTTAGCTACTGCATTACCATTTTCATCGCCGATACCTCAACATTGAAGAGCAGAGCCCTCATGCTATCATTCGCCACGTCGCCTTACATCTTCCTGACTTGGGCTGCCGGACCGATTACCGAGAGTCTTCTCAAGGAGGGCGGCATTGGCTGGCGCTGGGGTCTGGGCATTTGGTCCATCGTTGCACCCGTCGTGATTTGTCCTCTGGTCGGTCTCTTTCTCTGGAACCAACGCAAGGCTATCAAGCAGGGTGTCATTCAGGACCGCGGCGCTATTAAGAACGTCTCTCTTTCCAAAGTCAAGGCGTTCCTTGTTGAGGTGGATGCTTTGGGCATCCTCATTCTTGCTACCGGCATGGCTCTTTTCCTCCTGCCATTCAGCTTGTACTCCTACCAGGCCGATGGCTGGCATTCCCCCATGATCATCTCTTTCATCATCATCGGTTTCCTCCTGATCATTCTCTTTGCTGTCTACGAGAAGTTCTGGGCCCCAGTCACCTTCATCCCTTTCTCCCTGCTAATGGACCGAACCGTCTTCTTCGGCGGATTGATGTTTGTCTTTCTATTCTTCAACTCGGCCGTTTGGGGTTCTTTCTTCAACTCGATGCTCATGGTCGTCTGGAACACCTCTGTCTCACAGGCCACCTACATCGGCAACATTTACCGTACCGGATCCTGCGCTTTCTCCCTCATCATCTCTGGCTTGATCTACAAGACTGGACGTTTCAAGCCATTCGCCCTCTTTTTCTGCATCCCTCTTATGATGCTTGGTGTTGGCCTCATGATCCATTTCCGTCAGCCGGATAAGGACATTGGATACGTTGTCATGACCCAGATCTGTAAGTTGCCCGTTGCGTTGCAAGTATCTCATTTTACTAACTTACGCAGTTGTTGCCTTCGCGGGTGGTCCTTCCGTCATCTGCGGAGAGATGGCCATGCTTTCTCCCTCTGATCATCAGCATGTCGCAGTCATCTTTGCCGTCCTCGATCTGTTTGGCAGCATTGGCTCCACGGTTGGCTACACCGTCGCATCAGCCATTTGGACCGGAACCTTCAAGAAGAATATTGCGAAGTACACGCCCGCAGGAACTCCTGTCGACCAAATCTACGGAGATATCTACTCGCAGCTCGGCTACCCTGTCGGATCTCCTGAGCGCATTGGAATCCAGCGTGCTTATGGAGACTCGCAGCGCATCATGCTCATCACCAGTGTATGCCTGTTGGTTGGTGCACTTGGCTCCGTTGCCATGTGGAGAGACATCAACGTCAAGAAGGTGAAGCAGGTGCGCGGAAACGTTGTTTGATTGGAGTGGCGCGGCACATGATACCCCTTTTGCATGGCGGAAGCCGTACGCATCACGAAGAAAAGATGTCCCTTCATTGATACTTTGATCTCATGGATTTCCATATTGTATATTCTAGTTAATTGATGAGATATGGATGACCATTCATCGAACAGTAGGCTTGTGCTCGTGCGCTGTTCCATCGTGCGCTGTTCCAGTTGGTCTTCGACCACTATTTCTCCCTCAAAGAGATCTTCCAGCATGAAGGTTAGTCGAAGACTCTCTTGAAGACCGGCAGCTGGAGCTGCATTCATCCAGCAAGCCGGTGCTAATCCCGGGGTGTCTCTTCCGGCCACGCGGCGATTGGCTTGGCGAACAAGGGGTTGGCACATGGCGAGAGCCGTGAGGGTCGAAGTTGATCGAAGGCGATCCGCCCCGTCCGTCACATCTGCTTCGTTACCTCAATGAATGAGATAGAATTCTCGCATGGCGCAAAGACGTTTTTCCAATGCCGACACCTTTCTAGTGAGTGAGACAATTTCGGCACGAACATCGACCATCTTTAACCCAAACAGGACCAATGCTACCCAGACCATATTTCACCGTCTTGGCACGCGCTCAATCCCCCGCGATTACTAGCATCCAGCGCATGCAATTCTGCAAGAGAAAGAATTTCCTCCATTGAGATGGCGAATCGAGAGTGGATCGGTTACGCCTCCATTATTGACATGTAGTTACACGCAACAGCACGACTTTGGAGTAGGCTATGCAGTTCCAGCCCATGAACCCGGCCGAGTGGCGGCTCACTGAGGACAAGATAACGAGGGCATTGCCATGGTATTAATACGAGAAGTCCATTCTCCTTGTCCGCCGTCTTTGGCTTGATTATCAGCGGCGGTTTGTCTACTCTCTCCCGTTAACCCATTCCCTGAGTCGGTCCTCGCCTCTCACACGATGCGTACCTCCCTCCCCATCCTCGCTCTCACGAGCAGCCTCACTCTCACCAACGCAGCCCGGGCCTACTCAGAGTGGCTCGCCTCCTCCTTCATCGACCGCCAAACCCCCATCGACGCAGGCTATGGCCCCGCCGTCCTCTGGGAAGGCATCGCCCGTGCCGGCGCCCACATCTCCCCGACCTCGCCCCTCCTCAAAGCCGCCGAGGCCAAGGTCTCGTCGCTCGTAAGCGCGGACGGCACGCTCGACGGCTGGGACCCGGAGTGGTACTCCCTCGACGACATCCGCATCGGCAACAACCTGCTGTACTTCTACCAGCGCTCCGGGGACGCGAAGCTCAAGACCGCGGCGGACGGACTGCGGCAGCAGCTGAACCGCTGGCCGCGCACGCCAAGCGGCGGGTTCTGGCACCGCGCGCCGATCTACGAGGATCAGATGTGGCTGGACGGGATATACATGGCCGACACCTTCTACGCGACGTACGTCAGCCTGTTTGAGAGGGAGAATGTCACCGCGTGGGAGGAGATTGCGCTGCAGTTCGACCTGATTGAGGAGCACTGTCGCAACCACACGAGTAACCTCCTCGTGCACGGGTACGACGAGGCCAGGGACGCGGTGTGGGCGGACCCCGTCACCGGCGCGAGCCCGCTGGTGTGGAACCGCGCGGTGGGATGGTACTTCATGGCGCTCATCGACACGCTGCAGGTGTACCCGACCAACCTGCCGGGGTACGCGCAACTGCTGGGGTACTTCGTCACGTTGGCGGACGGGTTGGAGCGCAGCCAGGACGCCGGGGGCGGGTGGTGGTTGATTATGAACGAGGGGTACGAGACGCGTAAGGGAAATTACATTGAGGCGAGCGCGACGGCCATGTTTGCGTATGGGCTGCTGCGTGGCGTGAGGGATGGGTTTCTGGAGGAGAAGTATAAGGCGGTCGGGCTGAAGGCGTATGAGTTGTTGGTGGATGAGTTTGTGAGGGATGACGGGAACGGGACGATTAGTTTCTTGGGGACGGTGCAGGTCGGGAGTTTGAACTCGAATGCGAGCTTCGAGGTAAGTTCTTTCATTTTCTGTGCCTGGCTTGGTTGTTGGGAATGTTGCTAATGAGAGTGCAGTATTACACGAGCATCCCGCTCGTTGAGAATGATTCGAGAGGATCTGGGGCGTTTTTATTTGCTGCTATCGAGGAGGAGCTTCTCTAGACCAGGCGCGAGGCCCGACTGCTGAACGACGCCAGTGTGTGTTCGAATGAGGCGTAGCTAGAGGACTTGCTCTGGGTAATGGACAGTACATGAGCTTGTATCATTTTCTGTAGATATCTAGAGGAATTACAGGATCGTTTTGGGCCATGTTGGCCTCACTCAGCAGCTTCAGAGACAACGACAGAGTAATGGAAGTCTTTGGTGAGGCCCTCAACTCACCAACCTGCAAAATAATTCATCCACAGCTGAGTTCATCTGAATTTCCACCCTTCCGGACTCCGCATCATTTTTTGAACTGCCTTAGTCATTCCCGTTAATTCTTTTTTTCGAACGTTCTCGGTCGCGAATTATCGACATGTTTCGTGGGTCAAACCACCCCGCTGCGGGATCAGAGGGGGGCGGCGGATGATGTCATCCCGACATGATCCTCACTCGATCCCGAAAGGGAGCAAGACACGGTTCTCCACGCGGCGGCTGGAACATCAGCATGATTCGCATCGCTACGTCATCCGGACACATTCTAGAACTTTGAATTGAGGCGTTTTGTCTCCATATGGGTGGCGCGCGTGGAAAAAAACGCACACACAAGTCCCTGCAGCGTTTGAGGCTGCTCTGTCCTTATCGATACCAAATCCAACACCAACATCAATCTAAGATAGTAATTATTGTGTCGCCTCAAGTCAGAGTTACTGCATAGGTTCAACGTCGCACGATCTACCACGCATACGATCTAAGCATACATTTAGCAAAACCTTAAATACAATGGCGTCGCACGCGGAAGAGCACGCAACACAGCCAACGGCGCCGCCGGCAGCAAACCCCGCAATGACGGCGCAGGAGCCCGGGCCCTCGAAGAACCCAGCCAGACCACCGACCGAGAGCTCTGCGTCCGAGACGGAAAGCAGCACCCAAGACTCGAGGAACCAGGTTGCGGCGCAGCAGCAGCAGAGTGTTCGTCGTCGAGAGGGGCGGCAGCGTCAGGTGTACGAGTACCAGCAGGGAGAGGACGGGTCCACGGCGCAGCAGATTGCGCCGCAGAACGGGCAGCAGGTACAGGGCAAAGGCAAGGGAGCGCCTTCCGTGCGGCTTGATATGGATCTCGATATCGAGCTTGAGTTGAAAGCGAAGATACGGGGCGATCTGACATTATCTATACTGTAAGTGATTGATGGATCCGTTGAGATGAAGTGAGTTGATACTGATGATTTGGCAGGGGAGGAAACCAGGAGAAGAAGAAATGAGTGGATGAATGTGTATATGGGTCATGATGGTATGAGATTAATGTAATTATGTATTTGTATGAGTTGCATGTGCGAGTGTCATTCGTGAAAAGGTGACGCTCAGCAAAGGTTGTGATGTATAATAAGATGAGCGGGCCAAGACTCATCACCAAATTGAACACATAAGATCGGCTCCTCCCTGCGCTGCACATGAAGGCGAATCTTGGCAATACGTAAAATAAAGCTCAATCTCATCATACAGCATGTTCACCAATAGAACTTCCCTCATTCCTGATGCAGATCCTTCCTCATAACCCCCTTCAAACTCTCCTCCGAAATCGTAATATACTTCTCCGGCCCCACGCTATCCTCAAACGGCACCCTCAACCACTCGTCCGCCTGCACGATCTTGCCCTCCCGCAGCTTCAAATCGATCACGCCCGAGTACTGGAACGGCAGCCCCGTCGCCTTGCGCCGCCCGAGGTCGTTGACGAAGACGCCCTTGTTGACCGTCCGGAAGCTGCAGTACCCGTTGCCCTGGTCGTCGAGCTGCGCCCAGTACACGGGGTACTGCGGGTCGAGCCACACCGCGAAGTCGTCGTGCGCGCCGTTCCAGTGCTTGTGGTGCCGCTCGAGGAAGGCGAATGGGACGTGGATCTGCGCGCCGTGGTCGGTCATGACGGAGTCGGGCGCGAAGAGGGCGAGGAGCGGGGTTGGGTCGCGCGAGGCCCAGGCGCGGCAGTATATCTCGGGGAGGTTTTTGAGGTCGCTCATTTCGAGATGGGAGAGGTTTGCACGTGAAATTGGTGGTTGGCTTCGAGTTTGTGGTGTCGTGGGCAGTAAGTTTTTGACTTGAGGGCTGCAGAGCTGAGAACCACAGACACCAGGAGACGTTCATCTTGCAGACGCATCCATCCTTTAAGTTCACGTTGATGATTGTGCAAGAGCTCGGATGGGGGTTTGGGGAAGATCCGGCATCCAGTGGTGAATGAAACCGGAGATGTGGATCAGATGAAGTCGCGGCTACGGTGTTGCGACCATGCACTGTCCCGGGTTAACGAAACGGGTCTTCCGGGGTGTCTCGGGGGCCGGAATGGTGGCTGGGGAATCTCGGCCGGAGGACGGGGATGTGTAAGAGCGAGTGTGGCACCGAGTCGCGGCATGTTGAGGGTAGGTCATTGATCCCCCGAGGTGCGCGATCTGAGCTGGGACCAATATTGCTATATCAAACCGGTTTGTAAGCGGCTTCACGCCCGAACCTCCGAAATTGGTTTTGTCGATATGAAGAAGTGCCAGGGGCACGGCTTATCTTGCCGTGCGACAAGCACAGGTTCCCTGTTCGCAAGGTCGCGTACATCGGACGACACGAGGCAGTTACCTCATCACTAACGACAACTTCAATCGTACTTTTACAGAGTGAGTGGCCTCTTAGGCCAGCCGGATCTTTGGGTAATAAACGAGAGTAAATGCTATCAGACTCTAAAAGCCATCAACATAGATACTATCTCGTTGCTGGTGCTTTACTCATCGCCAACATCTACTATTACATCATTCTATACTTCGGAAATGCCGGCAGTGAGAGAAGCTTCAAGGCGCAGCTACGAGGTATTCATCGCAAAGTTTCCAGCCTAACACCAGCAGACGTGGAAATACTGACTATTTGGAGGACGCTATCAATCTGTTGAACTCAACGCAGTCGGGTCACAAAGCTCTAGAAGAAAGGCGGCGCCAGGGTCAGAAGCTGGATGGAGGCGCTTTGAAGCAGATGGAGTACTGGCTTGGATGCCTTGGCTATACTGTGAGCATCCTGGAGCCCCGTTGATGAATCCCGGCTGAGTCTAGTGAGCCTCGCGACCTGAACCGCATGAACATCGTCCATGTCGCAGGGACCAAAGGGAAAGGGACCACGTGCGCATATACGAATTCCATTCTTCAAAGCTTCCATAACGAGTCAAACGTACCACAAAAGATTGGTCTATATACATCCCCTCATCTCGTATCAGTACGAGAGCGGATAAGAATCAACTCGGAGCCTATCTCAGAGCAGCTCTTCACCCAATACTTTTTCGAAGTGTGGGATGCTCTATCTTCAAAACAGGAACTGGGTTATGAAGAAAAGCCGACTTACTTCCGATTCCTGACTCTAATGTCATTCTACGTCTTCATGCAGGAGAATGTCGACGCAGCTATCTACGAGGTTGGAGTTGGCGGGGAGATTGACTCGACAAACATCATCGATCAGCCGGTGGCAGTTGCCATCACGACGCTGGGAATAGACCACGTACAGACTCTCGGTAACACGATTGAGCAAATTGCATGGCACAAGGCGGGGATAATAAAAAAGGGTTGCCCTACTTTCACCGTTGATCAAGACGCTGCAGCGATGAAGGTTTTGAGCGGCAGAGCAATCGAGAAAGGGGCAAACCTAATGAAGATAAACCCGGTACCGGCCCTTGGAGAGATCAGCATTTACCCAGACGAATCTTTCCAAAAGGGGAACGCCTCCCTTGCTGTTCACCTGGCAGGGGCCGTTCTTAAGAAGCTTGGGAAACCCATGTCATGGGGCGGTGACTATCTCCCAAGTCAAGCTAGACGTGGACTAGAGACCATGGTCTGGAGGGGCAGATGCGAAAGAAAGATAACGGGAAATATTCACTGGCATCTGGATGGGGCTCATAATGAGCCAAGCCTCCAAGTGGCTTGTCGGTGGTTCGACACGGCCACCCGGAACTCGTGAGTTGCACTGTTCCTCTTTCCAGCTCCCGCCAATATTAATCATTTGCTGTAGGAATCTTCCGTGTGCACTAATCTTCAACCAGCAGTCCACGAGAGATGCCCATGCTCTGCTGAAAGTGGTACACGAGAGCCTGTATAAAACCAACAAGACTAGGTTTCGATATGTTGTGTTTTGCACCAACGTCACTTTCAAAACTCGACACTCCAAATCTGGTACGTGACCCCGTTCACAAATTGTTTCATCTTTGCCGCCAAAACTAATGATGAAGATCTCACCAACTTCAACGTCAACCCCGCAGAGCTCAAAACTCTTCAGGCGCAGAAGGAGATGGCAGAAACTTGGAGACGCCTCGATCCTGTCGCTAGGGTGCTTGTGGTTCCGACCATTGAGGATTCTATGGACTTTATACAGAACATTGGTATTGGGGGTTCAGTGATGAACGTCTTGGTTACTGGGAGCTTTTACCTCGTCGGAGGCTTACTTTCACTCCTCGAGGGCGCCGTCTCTTGAGATGAAACGTCTCAGTTCCACAATCCACACAGATTCGAAGAAACATATGTGCTTGATTGGACAATATACAGAGCAGTCGCCCAACTATGTACAGCTAGAAGAACCCTGACCCAAGAAACCCAGTCTACATCCAACGAGCCAGTGCCCTCCCTATATACCATGTACCCAATACATAACCGAACATAGCAGATGCGTTCTGCTACCTCATGGAGCGGGCTGATTAACAGCCAGAAGTCTTGACATTGGTCTCGGAGCAGACGTTGGGATCATTAGGCGCATCCCCAGGCTCGCCGCCGCCAGTCACGCCCTTGGAGTTCTTGCACACGGTAGCACCGCCCAGAATGCAGGCCCCGTTGACAGTCGCCTTGTCGCCCAGGTTTCCGTTGACGTGGACAATGGTCTTGGCGCCATCGACGTAGATGTTGGTGAAGGTCGACGTGCGCGCCGTCTGCTCCTTGCAGTTGCCGCAGGAGCGGTACAGCTGGCCGATGTTCTGGGCGTAGAAGTCGATGACCTCGACTTCGCCGCCGCCGTTGTGCTGGAAGACCTTGTCCGAGCCGCCGCGCGCGCCGCCGCCGCGGACCGTCGACTTGCCGCCCGTCTGTCGGAAGGTCGCTGCGTCTTCGCAGACCTTGTCCCACCAGCTGCGGGATCAGGTCAGTCTATCAGACCAGGATGATGAAGATTTTATGGGTTACTTACACGTTCTCGAGCGTGCAGCTGCCGACGCACTGGACACCTTCGCCGGCACCGCCTCCAATGATGGCATTGCTCAGCGTCGCGCCGTCCTCGAGGATGAAGGCGGCGTCGTTGCGGTTTCCTTCGCCGCCGGTGCAGGTGCTCGGGACGCGGTCGAACAGCTTCATGCCTCCGTCAAACACGCCGGTGATTGTCTTGACTGCAGAGAGGTTCTCGGTGCCCGCGGGAGTGGGAAACGTCTTCTGCAGGCCGCCGCCGCCACCGCTGCTGCCGCCACCACCCCCTGGGGTCGTGCCGTTGTTCGCAGAAGAGCCGCCTCCTCCAAGGTACGCGCCGCCGCCGCCGGAGCTGGAACCGCCACCGCCGGTGCTGCCGCCTGACTTGCCTCCCCCGGACTTGCTGCCACCAGATCCAGATCCAGATCCAGATCCAGACCCGGAGCCGGAGCCGGAGCCAGACCCGCTGCCTTTGTCCTTGTTCTTGTCCTTGTTCTTATCCTTGCTCTTGTCTTTGCTCTTGTCCTTGCTCTTGTCCTTCGTCTTGTCCTTGGACTTATCCTTGGACTTATCCGTGGAGGGGTCGGCTTTGGAGCCGACGTCGCTGCCGTCGTCCTCGCAAGAGCCGTTGTTGCCCGGGCCGCCGCCGCCGGGCCCGGCGAAGCGGACCTCGACCTTGGCCTGCTGGGGCGCCATCACGGCGCGGGCGAGGTGTCCGACGCCGCCGATGTGTCTGCGGGCCGGCCGCTCGGCGTCACGACCACCAGGGTTGATGGGGTTCGCAGCACCCAGTGCGGCAAGGGTGAAAAGGACCAGCCTGGACGCCATTTTGAAGATTGTTGTTGAATGACGGTAAGGTTGTGGTTACTGGAACTGGTAAACCTGTTGGTGAAAGAGAGGGGGGAAGCTGTGAAAAGGAGAAAGGAAAAGAAGTGTTGAAAGTTGAATGAAAGAAACTGTTTGGCGATGAGGCCTGCCGAAGAGAAACATGACCAGATGGAGGGTGATGAAGCAGGCTTATATATAACCATGATTTCTTGTGGTCTACTGAGATTAGAGTAGTGCTATCCGTTCATCGCATCTGAGAGTGTCCCCTGCAAGAGGTGGACTTCCCATCTACGAAACCCCCAGCGGCATCCCACCGAACGCGGGTTAGTATATCGATGACTGCCCAGCCTCTCCACAATCTGGTGTATATGATGGATCAACGGCCTGCGAAATTGGCCTCGCTACAATCTGTGGGATATCCACCGCCGACATTTGTTCCAGCGTCAGATTCATTGGCCCAAGGGGAAACAAGACTTCTCCGTGGGCATGCTAGCAGCTACTCTAAACCTAATTACGAGCGTCACGCTAGGCTAACCCGCGTTTGATGGTGGGACTGCCCCCAAAGAAGACCTTCAGACGTCCATATGGGGCAGTCTGGTATATGTTGGTCCTCCCCAGGATGACAGCTCGAGCGGGAGCGTCATCCGACGACATGGACCAAAAGGCCCACCCAGTTCATCCCGCCTGCCGGATGGGCATAAGATGATTTTCATATAAGGGATGCCGTGCGGCTTCTGCACATCATAAGTCAAACCAGCTAATGGCCTGGGCACAACAGACTTTCGAGTCGTACATGCTTGGCAGTCCCTCAATCTCTATCGGTGCAACGACCGTACTGGCGGGTTTTCTGGAAGGGGGAAAAGAAAAAAGCTTGGAGCAGCCCGCTCATCTACCCGGGGATTTGGGACAGGGTTGTTGTTTGTCTTCGGATCCCGGAGTTCTCGGGTCGCACGGGGTTGGGGGCTGACCGTGCGGCGCTCTCGCCGTTCTGTTCGCTACAGACGAGGCGGGCGTGGAGTTGATGGATCCTGATGGATCCGGGGCTCCGGACTGGAGACTCTACAAGCGGCCTTCGTCCTGTCTCCGTCCGACTAAAAGACACCTTATTTTAAGCTAAAAATGAACAAGAAATAAGTCTGGTTAGACGACAAGTTGGAGGATCATTGATATCTCTGTCGAAAGTTGCGGTTAACTCCCGTGAACTCTGAGCAAGGAGATTTTCCGTCATGTTTGTTTGGCCCCTATTAGAGTTTTCGGGCAGCCAAAAGTCTGACTCTCAAACCATCAGTTGACCGATGCTCATCATCTCAGGGGGCGCGCACAGCAACGCTGACTGATCTTCATAGAGTTCAGTGCCAAGAATTGCTGTGCACGCCAAGAATCGTCAGTCTTCATGCAGCCGCCTCAGGATTGACTCGCGAAGGCGTCCAATTACTACGAGACGCTCTTCGCACCAAGAGCACACATGTCTTGACAATGATTCAGACCCCAAGGTTTGGCGCCAAAGATGCTGTCAAATCTCTTCATACGAACGCCGCTTGGCCTTTCGTGACAGCTGCCACAAACTTCAGACTAGAACGGCAACTTGACGTGCTGGGTCGGTTGTTTCGACGTTTCTTGGGCGAAAGCCATGCGGGCAGCGTGTTTGAGATATAGCTATAGCTATTTTTAAACTTTCATAATGGGCTTTTCACACACACAAGGCAGTGCTGGATGTGGAGTACAGTGACCCATCGGGCATCAGACCGAAAGTCGACGATGAGGCAACTCTTCGCTTCGGAAGCCGAAGCCACCGTATTCCATAGCATCCCACGCATATGATAGCAGCACATTCTATGAGCGTGCGCCGAAAGCCAATGTCCTGTACCTGAAGCTTAGGTCTTGAGCCAAGAGAAACTCATCAGAGTTTGGCGATCAGGACTCGAGACTGCCGGCGGTCAACGCTTTGAATAAAACATAATTCGAATAACATTAATTGAGCAAGTATTAAGTAAGATTGAGACGAGCCCCGAGCTCTTTCGTTTTCGTTCGCGACATATGGTATCCAATGAAAACATGCTGTAACTTCAGACGGGTATCGCAGCTGTGTCGACCAAAACTCCATACTTCGGACCCATTATACCATCTCACCGGCTGAAGGACGACGATTTGCCCTATCATGATGCGATGTCACCGCCTTACGGGGAACACCAACTCCACGACCGTCCCTGCTAGTGCTGTACCGGGTCCTAACCATCTTGTTGGTACCGTAGGGCTTTCCTCCCCGTCCTTTGCCCCAGCCTGCCTTACGGGTGGCGACCAGACCGTCGCCAAAAGAGTCGAGATCGTATTCGAGGGGCATCTTACGGTGGAGAGGAATATGGTTGAAACGCCAGTCCCAGATCGAGGCATACACCATCCGGTATGACGAGAAACCGAACATCGTACCGATCAAGCCGCCGGCCAAGATGTCGTACCAGTTGTGGGACTGGTCAACGGTCAAGGAGCCTCCCACAAGTGTGGCGCCGAGGATGGGGGCGTAGGTAAGGATCAGCTTCCACATGGATGGGTGGTAGTTGGACCACACCTTGAGCTTGGCGTTGAGGTAGAGGTACAGATAAACCATGCCGGCAAACATGGATGTTGTATGCCCCGACGGAAATGACTCCAATGCGTTGGAGAGGGAACCTCCCATCTCGGTGGTGCAAATGTCGTAGGTATACATGATACCGCCATAGCCTGTGCCGTCGAGACCAGTCGCATTGCCACCTGGCTGGGAGGCTTTGCTGATGTCGGGTTTGCAAACCTCGAGAAAATTTGGGCGCAGGCCTCCAATCAACCATTTAATCATGACCTGGAACACGGCCGATCCCAGTTGCGCATAAAGCACACCGATGATACCGTTGTTGATGTCCCAGAACGAGCGAATTTGAATCTGGCAGAGGAGTATGACCAGTATCGGGACGCCAACGCCAAGCGCAGTTGCAGCATGGCTGGGGATATATTGCGGAATGGCAGGGTAAGCGAACTGAGGGTACACGACTTCGCCGTCCTCGAAGGTAACAGGGAATAGTCGGTGAGCCGGAGGGTGGGCTCGGAATACCTGCAATTCACATGTCAGCCATCATTGGAGATGTTGGGGTCGCGTGCGGTACTGACACCTAAAGCGATGGCGCCCATAGCTATCATCGTCAAAATATCGAGCCACGTCACTTTGAGCCATAGCATAAATGGAGGTCGATGAGCCATGGAATACGGCTCACCGCGGTGCCAGCGCTCGTTGATCTTGGTCTCGTCACTGCTTCGCCGGCGATGGGTGGGAAGAGGAGTCTCAGGGTCGTGTCGCCGACGACCAAACAAGTTGAAGCCCGCCATTTTGTTGGAGGTGATGATACTCAGGCAATGAATCAGGATTGCTCGCGCACCAGGCAATCTCCGGAGAGGAAAGCTGCAGATGGCTTCTGGCAAATGAGGGCGCGCAGGTCAATAGATTTGTTTGGAATGTTAAAAGAAGCGTACAGCAACAAGGGAGAGACAGATAATAAGGGCCGAAGCCTTTGATCATGTCCTCGTTCCCAGTCTTTTGCCCAACTCTTGGCAATCGCGGTCATCTGTGTCATTCTGTCTACATAAGGTCGTACCTGACGACGAAAGACGGTCGCGACTACACGCGCTGTGCCAAGTGTTGGTGCTGTGACGTCAGTCACGATCGGCCGGTGCAACTGTCGACAGGCACGCAACGCTTGTCTCTGCTCGCTTACGGGATGCCAAGAAATCCCCTTGACGAGTTGAAGCCACTGGAGGCCAGCAAAAAAGGCTTGGCTGATGCGATTCAGTTCAGCCACATCATTCAACGGCGCATGCTTTGCCTTGAATCTGTGTTTATTGGTATACGGAATGGAACTGTAGCCGTTCATAAGTAATTACTTAGTGGGTGACCTTGGGATTGGTGAGTATGTTGCGCTGTTACTAGCTGTTACTCTACAGAGCAGACCTTGCTTGTTCGAGGTCAAAATTATAACGTGGCCATCGTTGGAAATGTTCGCGATGCCAGAGTCCTTATGGCAGTACACTCCTTTCCTGCATCGGTTGTTGGATAATGGCTGGCGTGCAGGTGCACCTACCCGTCGCCCCATCATCCTCCCGGTGCCGGCTCCGGAATAAGTGGGCCATCTCCGATCAACCGGGCGCACCTCCGGTGACTCCGACTCGACCACTTATGCCTACATCCAATGCTTGATTTGTTCTGCAATCAAAAAGGCTCTCCCTATGCAATACAATCAAGCCTGCAAAGCTTTCCTGCCTGGGTAATCGATGGTTATAGTCATGATGTTTACGGACGGGAGACTTTTCATGAAAGCAAGTTGAGTATATACGGGTTGAATATGTACACTGAAGTATTGAATTGAATATCCATGAAGCTGAAACTTCTTTTCCTTATCTCTTCCATCTCTGAGACTACCGTGTTGGCCAGAGCCTCACCAAGACCCGCCCCTCCGCTAAACTCTCAAGGAGCGTACGTCTTGAGCAGGCTGTTGTAGTACTTGTATCCCGTGCCGCTGGGAGGCTCGAAAGAATAGATGTAGTCGCCCCACCAAGGGCCGGCAGACCACCAAAGGGCGCCTGCTTCGTTAGTCTCGCGTTCAAGAGCGTCCAAAAGAGTCCAGACTCACCAGTCCACACGTCGCTGTTCGCCTTGAGGTAATCCAGCATGCCCTTCACAGCAGTCTGGCACTGCGTGTTCGCGCCACCGGCAAACTCTCCCAGGATACCAATCTTTCCATTCTGCCGCAGCCAGGTCGTCGCCGCAGTCACTCTCTCCACACCAATCGTAGTCGACACACAAGCATCCGACGTCCCGGAGCTATCCGAATCGAGGTACTGATGCATCTCGTACACGATCTTGTTCTGCGGATCCGTCAACGCTTTCATGTTATCATTCACAGTCGTCCACGACCACGCGCCCGACCACTGGTTCCCCTCCACAAAGATATACTGCGTCGCCCCCGCAGCGCGGATGCCGTTGATCGCCGCCTGGTTGAGGTTGAGCACCAGCGTCTGGTCCATCGTGTTATACTCGTTGTTCGTGTCGAAAATCACGTGGTCGTTGCCCTTGAACTGCGTCGCGAAGTTCTTCCACCACGTCTGGAAGCCCGCCGTGTCGGTGATGATTGCGTCGTTGAAGCGCCCGTAGTTGTGCGGGTCCAGCACGGCCCAGCCCCCGCTGGATGTGATGTGGTTGATAACGGCGGTGTAGTTCGCGAGGTAGGCGGTGTTGAAGGCGCCGGTCAGGCCGGTTGGGGTCAGGCGTTCCATCTTGAACTGCACGCGGAAGGTGTTGTAGCCCTGACCGCGAAGGGTCTACTCGCGCCGTTAGCACACGGAGATGGCTACTCTGGAAGCTGAAGAATACTTACAGTGATGGTGGCAGGATCAGGGAAAATGAACTCCTTGCCCCAGGTGCCGGGCAGCGTCTTCTCGCCGAACTCGCCGCCGGCCTCGTTGGTGCCGAACCACCTCCAGCTGCCGGCACCGGGGGCCGTGGTGGAGGTGGGCTTGACGGAGGTAGCCAGGGTCGTCGAGGCCGGCGGGTTGCTGGAGCCGGAGCCGGGAAGGCACTGGCTGTACCACTGGTTGGAGACGGTGCAGGTGTATCCGGAGACGCAGGTGGTTGCGCCGGTCCAGCCAGAGCCGCCGCACTGGGCCCAGGCGCCGGCTTGCGCGGCTGCTCCGCTGACGAGAGCGCCAAGGGTGATGATGGACCTCATGTTGGACTGGGTGTCGTGGTTGAGCTTGAGGGACGCAGAGAGGGCAATGTCTCGGCAGCTAGCCTTGGCTACGGTTGTTTATATATCTGGGGTACGTTGCCAAGATACCCCTTCCCTCTGGCCGCGCAGTCTCATGGAACCCTCCATTCCGTGGCGCCATTCCTATTCTACCCTCATCTTCACTGAAGCCCCGTGGGGTCGCAGATGCCTCCCGGTTGGCCGCTGGTTCGGCAAGAACCGTCCCAATATGAACTTCTCAAGGGTACGTGCCTCATTCTGTCGGCTGTTGAAGCCGATGAACCACGGTCACGATCAGGGATTAGCCCCTGGTATGACTTCTCTTTCGAGTCCCGGGATATCTGGAGCCGCAGTTGTCATTGCTGGCGTGGATGAGCGAACAGGCAACGTCGGACCGGTTCGCTGGGATTAGCCCATGTGCCGGGGCCGGCAGGCAGGTGACCGCTGGCGGATGCGACCAATGGGCGGGGAGGTCATTTCCGAGAGCGGTCGAACGGGGGCAGCTTTGTGAGTGAAGAACTTGAGCAGGGCGTTTTTAAGGATGTTGGTGCGTGCCGGAGTGTGAGCCTCCGAGGTTGCATCGGGCCATCGGACGGCACGTCGGGGGGCACATGACTACGACTCGAGCATCACTCGGTACCGAAGATTTTTTTTGATCGGGCTTTGTTGGCGTTTCCACCAGTTATGTGTATGGGCGAAATGAAATCGCAGTGTTGTCAGGAAGGGCAATTTTCGGCATCAAGGGCCTTTGGTTCCTGGCGCGATCCTGGTCGGATGGAGCATGAGTGAGCAGAGGCGAGGTTAATGTCACGAGACTTGCCCAAAGATCACAGCCTGAACCGCTGGGACTAAGATGACTTGGTCTCGCGGTGATTCGACGTTGAAAATGCAAGCCGTCGGAGAGTTCGTTTCTTGGCGCCTGGGACTGCAGTTGATGGGCGCGTCTGGTGCTACTACCCTCAAAGCAGATGCCGGAAACAGTCTCCCCGAGGTGTAGCAAAGCAGAATTTGAGGCTGTGAGCGTTGGGACTAGTCAACGTCTTCTAAGTGTGGCGACCCAGATCACATAGGCTGTTGTGGCGGTCTAGGTAGTCGCTTGTAGCAACGCCTCACAATGTTTGGCAACAGGTCAATCGACCAAGTTGCGGATATTTGAAGACCCTAATACAGGTGTCGTATAAGGTAGTTCTGAGAGTGACTCACTGTCTACCACGTAGTCGAACGAGTCCGACATGATGGCTCCGCTCGACGAATGACTTGAAGTTCAAAAAGGCCCGCACAGTTATTGGGTCAACAGCATGCAGGTCATGTTTCCCGTAACTGAAGATATGAGCCTCGTCCCGCAGAAGCAGTTGCATTCTTGCCCTGATGCCTGCCAGCTGTTCCGAGTAATAGTACAGATATAGACCGTAATGAAGTCCTGTGGGCCTGTATTCTACAAGTCGTCTCTATCTAGCCCACGCTTGTAGGCCGACAACGCCCGCTCGCGACAACCCTTATGCTCTACCATCTGCTCAGGGTAACCCGCCTTCTTCGCCTGCGCCCCAGCGCCGCGACCGTACGGGTCATGGATGGCCTTTCCTTTGACTCCTTTAAGCTCAGGCACCCACTTCCGGATGTAGTCGCCGTTAGGGTCAAACTTCTCACTCTGTAGCAGTGGGTTGAAAATGCGGAAGTACGGCTGCGGGTCGACGCCCACGCTCGCGGAGAAGCCCCAGCCGCCGTTGTTCGAGGCAAAGTCGCCGTCAATCAAGTTCTCCATGAAGTGGCGCTCGCCCATGCGCCAGTCGATGAGAAGGTCTTTCGCGAGGAAGCAGGCGACGATCATGCGACATCGGTTATGCATCCAGCCCATCTCGTGCATCTGGCGCATTGCGGCGTCGACGATGGGGAAGCCCGTCTTGCCATCGCACCACGCCTTGAAGTCATCCATGTCGTAAGACCACTCGATGTTTGCGTACTCGGGCTTGAAGGGCTTGTTCATGCTAGAAAAAACCGGTCAGCGATCATGTCGTCTCTGTTCAAAGGGAGGATAACGTACCACACGAAGGGCCAGTTCACCAGGACGTGCTTGTAAAAGTCTCGCCACGCCACCTCGCTGATCCACACTCGAATGCCCTCGTTGCCGGCATCCAGCTTCTTGGTCTTGTTGCGGTCTCGCGCGTAGCGCACACACGTCCTCGAGCTGATGGTTCCACTGGCCAGGTGCACTGAGAGAGTCGAGGTCCCGGCGTCGTAGGGGATGTTGCGCTTGTTGTGGTACTGGCCAACCTTTTCCTCGCAGAACTTCTCCAGACGGCTCCGTGCCTCGTGCTCCCCTGGCGGGAAGAAGGCTCTAAACCGTTTCTTGTCATCGTCTTTCAAGGTCCTGCCCTCCACCTCTTCCGGGATCTCCGTGTCGAACAGCTCACCAAACTTCTTTCGCGCGCTGGCTGGGTTCTTCGCGGGGGGGTCGTAGAGCTCTAAGAGGTCCAAGTTTTCGTGGACGTGGCGCACCCAGGCGCGGAACCAGGGAGAGTAGACGGCGTACTGTTTGCCGGATCCGCTCATCAACTGCCCTGGCGGGACTACGCACGTATCGTGCAAGACCTCGTATGAGAGGCCCTTGTCCGCAAACATGCGGACCATCTTTGCCTCCCGTCTGAGCTCGTCCACTTCGTACTCCATGTTGGCAAACAAATGGCTGGCTCCCCATTGGCCCATGAGCTCGGCGATTCTGTCGGGAATTCTGATTCTCTTTTCAACGGTCTCGACGTAGAGTGGAATGTCGAGTTTGGCAAGGTTTTCCCTTAGGACATGCAGGGTCCTCAGCATGAAGTCGACGCGGATAGGGGCTGTGAGGTGAGCCTCGAAGTCTTGCGGGCTGATGATGTACATGGCGATCAGCGGGACCCCGGCCTCCTTCGCCTTCTCGCTGGCAAGAGACAGTGACCGGTTGTCCGTCGTGCGGAGATCCATCTTGAACCAATGTACCACGGCGTCCTTTGGCTTGACGGCTTTGCGCGCCTTAGACGTCTCCTCGAGGGCGGCGGTCAGCTCCTCGATCGGACGTGGGATCTCGTCGTTGATGTAGGCCCGGGCCCGATCGTTGCTCATCTCGTGGGGATAGAACTTTCGAAGAACGATCCCATGTTTCTCGGCATCCTTGTGGAAAGGATGCGGCTGGCGCAACGGGTCTGAAGATGCGCTGCCGTTCTGCTCCGTCTTTGTCCTTTTGCGTCCCGAGTCGCTGGGCTCGGCCGTAGCCGCGGACTTGCGCTTCTGTTTGGGCGGCATTGTCGTGGAGAAGTGTCTATAACTGCCAGTAGCACAGATAGTCAATGTATAGGAAAGGCGAGAAGTGATAGAAACAGAAAATGCAACAGTTGTCAGACGCGTGTTGCTGGGCAGCAAGACGCGACGAAAGAGCATGGAGGTGGAATGACGAGGGACAGCCAGTGGGTGAAACGCGATCAATTCTACCTAAGGTCAGGCAAGTGCGTTCGTTACATTGCAATAAACTTCCCTGAGCTCGCTGGGAGCTCCAGGAGAGGGCGATGCCATTAAGCTGGGGAAGAGCTTGCGATCGGCCGATGTCTTGTGCGTCATCATGTTCCTGAAATCGGCACATCTGGACGTGCATCTGCGCTCCCGTCGAGCTTTAGCGTCCCGGGGCCCTGGACTAGTGGGGCTTTGGGGCGGCCAGATTCCGATCTTTTAGCGGGGCATCGTCGAAAACAGCGCTGTGACTGGTTCGGCAGAGGGCGTCTGGGGCGCTGCTCGGTGAGGGATCTGAGATTCTCGGTAAGGTCAGGTCTGGGAGACAAGATGCTAGTTGGTCCCGGTCAGTGTCGGTGAGCATCACGTGCTGATAAGCCGCGCTGACGTCTGTGGGCATCTCCGATAAGCTTCTTTCGCGGCCAAGCAGGCGCCGACGATGTGATGCTGCTTCCATTCATCCCATCTTTTCCCATTGCAACATCGACGACAACGAACATCCTCCTTACTTGACAACCCGCTTCAACGCCTCAACCTTACGATCGACGCAAACATGGACCCGGGCCGCAGAGCTATGATTAACTCTGGGCGCAGATCCCCCAGTCGCAGAGACCGCGAACGCGAAAGAAGCATCACCTCCCCCCGGCGCGACTCCAACAACCGCATCTCAAAGCCCTCCAATCCTCCCCCGTCCTCGAGGTCACGTCAAAACAACAACAACACGAGCTCGAGCTACATGACCCAGGACGAGCAGTCGCGCCAGTTTGTAGCCGACGAAGACAAGTTCGTCTTGAAACAGGCCAAGAAGAAGGCAGACATTCGGGTTCGGGAAGGCCGTGCCAAGCCCATTGATCTCCTCGCATTCAATCTGCGCTTTATCGATACCGATCGCGACGTATTCGACGACGACGATGCCGACCTGCATCTCAGCGTCCCCTCTCCAGAGGACGTCTTGCAGGGCCTCGACGAATCACAGCTGAAAGAGCTGGATTCTGACATCACGTCCTACCACACCCTCGAGACCAACGGCCGTAACCGCGAATATTGGAAGTCGTTGCAAACAATCTGTGCAGACAGGCGGCAGAAACTGAAACCCCAGGGCCCAGACGCTCGGGTCGTCAGCACAGTGTCAGACGACGTCGACAAGATACTGCGCCCCAAGACCTACGAGCAGCTCGAGGCCCTCGAGTCTCAGATCAAGGCCAAGCTTCGCTCCAACGATGACATCGATGTCGACTACTGGGAGCAGCTTCTGCGCAGCCTGCTTGTCTGGAAGGCCAAGGCGAAGCTCAGGAAGGTGTGCGAAGCAATCAGCGATAGCAAGGCCGACATGCTCAAGCTGCAGGATCCTGACAAGGCAAAGGCTCTGGGGCAGCAGGCCCTGCAAGCCGAGTCTATTTCCGGACCTGCAGCAGTCAGGAACATGTCATCTGAGCCCGTTAGGGCCGAAGCAAAGGCAGTGTCTGTTTCATCGGGACTCCAGGGTGGCGCGCCACCAGGAACGG